CAATAATAGGAGTGCATTGACGATTTTTTCTTAACTCGCAAAAATCTTCAAACAATTTGCTACCGATTGGTGATAAAATTTTTTGGAAATTATGAAATAGGGGGGATAACGCCTTTTTTTCAGGGGTAATTTTTCAAAAATTTATTTCAAAAAAAGTACTAACTAGCAAATGTTTTTTATTAGCTCGCAATTTTCTTCAAAACTACTTCAATGAGGAAAAAAATAAAAATTTGGAATATCTATACATGAGGGGCTAATTGATCGGATCTAATGCTAGTTTCACCCTTAAGTGGTCGAATAATGAGGGAATCCCCGTCGTTTTTGGATTTCTTTCTGTTCACATAAAAACTTCGTGAATGAAAAATCCATAAAAATTTATATTCCTACGTGCAAATATCTGGAACACATCAACACCTTTTTTTTCGGTCCAGGTTTACACCAATGGATTATTAAAATCTTCTGAAAATTCGAGTCGCTGAAAATTTCCATGGTTAACCTCAACATTTCATGATTTTGTATTTTTTTAAATCGAGTTTTTGGATTATCCTACAACTATTTCGCTTTCATATCTCCATTTATTATTTATGGAAAGTTCAAAATTACCTGTGACCGTGGAATAAATTTTGTAACCGAAGTAGAAAACTATATTTAATCTTCCTTATCATCTTTGAAAATTAATATAAAAAAAATGAATAAATGAATAATAAATTGAAAACAAAAATTAAATATTATTATTATTTAACAAAATTTATTATATTATTTAAAAAATTAATAATAAATTATTTAACCGAAGTGAAACACTATATTTAATCTCCTTTATCATCTTTGAAAATTATTATCAATAATTTTGCTCAACGTCTATTCATTCTGGAAAGGAGGAGGGTGGAGAGGAAGGATTGAATTTTTTAGAATTACAGAATCCGCCACCCGGGCCATTGCGACGTCGCCGGAGGGAGGAGATTGCAAGAATTGAAAACAATCGACGCTCTCGTCGTTCGCTGGAGGTCTTACTAGTCAACATAGCAATTTCTGCTTTTTCTTCGAGTAAAATGTAGGAGACGCGCGAGTATAAACTAGTTTTAAATCGTAAGGAAAAAATACAATTCAACATCGAAAAAATGCATACGATGTGAGTAATTTCTCGTCGTTCAATAGTAAAAATTGGTAAAAAAATTTAGCAGTTTCAACTTTTTTGAAAATTATGTTTTCGTCCGGGCATTTTATACTGTTTTGTCCGTTGAACATTAGCACGTAAATCGTAAAAAATTAATTTCATTTCGTAAACGTTCGGTTAAAGTAAATAAAATTTTCAAGTTTAGAAATTATTTAAGATTTTAGTCTTGATAATTCAAATTAAGTTTATATTTTATAAGTTTACATTTTAAAATGACAATGCTGTTATACGAAGAGACATCAAACCTCAAATTAAGTGCAGCGTATACTTCATTTCCTTTTTTCTCAGCAAACGGAAAAAAAATTTGAAAAAAGAAAATTCTACACACGTTCCTTTCCATATCTCACAGTCTCTCTTTGTCCACCAAGCTCCCGCTTTATTAAATTCCATGTAGTAAACGCCAAGGGGCATAACTGCTGCCCCATATCCCCTCGCCCAACTGCTTTCATATTTATTACGTTTATGAACTTTGAATGGTTTGGCCTGAGTCATTAGACCCCACCGACTCCGCTTTAATAACGAAAACACGAAAAAAAGCATAGAAATTACTCAATCGTCCAGACAGTTCCATTATTCCGCATAATAAACAAAAATGATTGAAAAACCTGTAGAGCATTGGCGAGGAAAATTATATTGAATTTCTCTTGAAAAATTCCGCAGCTTATCTACCGGTTTTTTGTTTAATAGAAATGTTCATTGGAAAATATTCTATGTTAATATTTTTGATAAAAAATTCCTCGGCTCAAATTTCCCAAGTTTTTCTGCTTCATTTTTCGAATGAAAGAAGAAGAAAACGAGATTGGAAAAACTTGAAAAATTCAGGAAGAGGAATTCTTGGAGAAAATGTTCTCATGGAAAGATGAAAATCTACTTCTACAGATCAGTTTCTATTGGCAATATCTCGAATCGAAAATGAAAACTCAAACATGGCAAATATTTTACAACAATAAAAGAGAATTGAATACCATTCTACTAAGCATGAATAAAGAATCATAATTGTCCAAATCATTTAGGTCAGAGGAAAATAGAATAATTCAACTTTCTTAATATTGCGTTTACTAAGGTTTTCTTCGAACAAAGTTGATTAGAATGAATAGCTAGAATTATGAGATTATCTCACATTTTTTACGTTAAGGATAGGAGAATCTGAATGCAATATAGTGAAAATGATGATCGATTTTTTCACTTTGAACAAATAATATTAATATCCAAATACAAAATTTCTGATATGAATAAAAAGAAGCTGTGACTCAATATTCCAAATGAAGTTTTAATTTTTAATTTGGTGCTGAAAACACGAGATAACAATATTCTAAGCACAGAATTATATTGATGAGATGAACAACAGATTAATTGAATTACCGTGTGAACTAACTAAAAATTGATAACAGTGTGGGCACGCACTTTTACCAGAGTATCAACAAACATTGAATTCCAGAAATTCACACTCTAAAGTGTGTTCTAGAAGCAATTGAATTGTAATTATGATTAAAATCTTATTCAGTGAGCATAGGAATTAGAACACGAGCAAGTCATTCATTGTAATATGAAAATTCAACAGCTGATAAATTGGGACATATGGTTCTCGTCAGTCGTATTGCTTTTTGTAATGAGACTGATTATAAACAATTACTTGAAAAAAGGAATATCGAATCTGATAGGAAAAGGAGGATAATGAACTAGTCCAATTTAAAAAATTACGCAGTAAAGCTGTGGAATTCTTCAATAGAATCGGCCGAAAATTAATAGAATTGTCACTAGACCTTCACTAGAATTTTTGATCCAATTCGCTAGGTTTTCCTGATTCATCTCTTGAACCTAGGCTTTACAGTCTAGGAAAAAGATATTGGTGATTTTTTTCCCCCGCGCTGACTCATCTCTTCCCCCGTAACATAAAAAGCATCATTGAGAGTGAATTTCATGCGGTGACACGAATTCATCGGAGCACTCAGAGTTGAAGGGATGAGTAATGCCACTTGAAATATCATCAATGATGCATGTCATCCGATATTACTTGTGAACAATTCGTAATTTGCTGCACGGTACTCCAGTTTATTTTGTATTATTAAATCATCAATTTTGATGGCTCAATTAATGGGATAAATCACTCTGACAATGAGTTCCATTTATGTAATTGGAGTGGAAAATTGGGATGCAGTTTTAATGGTCAATAAAAGATCAAAGGATTCTTGGTGAAGTGATTTTAATTGAATAGATAATTGTTTTGAACAAGTGAATAAATTACTAACAATTAAAAAAAAAGTGACTCCAATAATTCTCAAAAATGAGAATGTGGGAAATCTATCAGCCTCAGGTGATTTCTCGTGAAATTGTTTTGTAGACAATATTTTCTACCGAAAAAAAGCGGAAAAATTTTGACCCCTCCGACAGGACTCCAAAACCCCAATACAATTTTCTGTCGACCCTGGGATTCCATTCAATTTTTTTTCATACGTGATCGTGCAATAAAAAGGAAGTACCATCATAACAATTTCATGCCATAAAAGATTCACCCAATTCCCGGAAAAACACAAGTGTTCTTCTTTTAGAAAATGAATGGGACGTTTTTTGTCATGAATCTATTCTGTCATGCTTGACTAAGGAATATTTCAATGAAAAAAAAGTTAGATTTTAATCTTTGATTACAATGGAAATATTGATTTTCACATAAGACACTGGATTAAATCCTGATTTTTAAACATTTCTTCTTTGAAAAAGCAAAACGATAATTAAATTGAGGAAAAAATTGGAATCTAATCGAGTTTTCTGCCATTTTTGTGCAGTTTTCAATAATCTTTGAATTTACCGTAAGGGTAGAGCTACTTTAAATAATATGTGTGGATATATCTTGAAACCTCCGAGTACTAGATCAACCACATTGAGAGAAAAATCTGAAGTTCGATTTACGATAAGAAAATAGTTGAGACATTTTGGGGAACGATACGATTTTTTTTGTATGCGGCACGTAACATTATAGTAACTTCACAAGCGTAATTACTAACAATTACATAAATTCGCTTCACAAGCGTAATTTTTGCAAATCAAAATGCAGTTAAACTAACCCAAGTCCAAAAGTAATCACGACAAATCTATCGTGAGCAGAACTCTAAAATAGTTGCAATGACTACATTCCATAGTAGTAATGACTTCTCCGGCCATAGTTACCGTAACCCATGAAAAATTGTTGGGGATTTTTTGACTATAATTCGATGGTGATGGAATATAGTCAGAAGAATTATATTTTTCTCTCAATGTAGAAGCGTCAGGATATACTATCTCTGCAATAAAATCCTTTCGACGGACACAAAAATTTTAACAATTCCGTGTGAGTCATCTTTCATTATCTTATCATCTCTACTTCGCTTCCTCGCAGATATCAAGGAAGCTATAAAAAATCCTGCCGTATTAGAGAACGTTACATGGAGAATACCGATTCGACACTGGACCATAAAATCGGGACGGTTATATTATAAATAAAAGAAAAATTGAAAATTTTCCTCAAGACTCGCACTATAATAACGATAACTTCACCCAATAATTTCCACAGAAAGATTGGTGTTTCAGTCGTGCGACTTGCAGTCCTTCATTCTTCTATTCTTACATCTCAGTCTGAAAAAGGGATTGTTGAGATTTAAATTCGGAAGGAACTTTTTCACTGTTGATGAAACAGTAAAAATCGAGGATTTGTGTCTCTTCGCGTCGCAACAACTGTATACTGATAAGTTAACAAAAAAAGTTGATGCAGTCATTAATACCCAGTTTTCGAAGTACGCGCTGCACCCGCGTCGCTGCCTGATCTGTTCTTCGAAAAGTGAAAGTTGAAATATTGAATAACATCTCTACACTGAGAGACAAACTAAAGTTCTCAATCAAGTCTTACTTGTGCCAAGAAAATAGTTTTTTGAAAATTACCAAAAGAGGATTTTTTGTGCCAAACATGCAGAGAGTGCGCCGGAATGAATAATTTTTGTCGCAAAAATGGATTTAGTAGTTCAAAAAAAATTGCATTCTCTGTACAGCCAAGAATAGTATTCTTCCGGCGTGTTGCGATGGGGTTTTTTACTCGTGTGGCGTTGGCCTCCGGGCCGTAGGCGAGGACTGGCCAACCACACGAGTAAAAAAACCCCACCGCAACAGCCCAGGAACAATATTTTTCTGTAGTGATTTTCAAGTTTTTGAGTTTGGGAAGTATGTAATACCAATTCCCAGACGAGAAATCGTGAGAAGCAGTACAGAAAATGTCATTTCTAGCACTACTCCTTCGTTATTCGATACTCCCATACGTATTTTGCTCCCGAAAAATCTTTGTTTTATGCGAAACAAGGAATAGTAGTTTTTCGTTTCGGCTGTCTAATAATCACAGACAACAAATGAACCCTTGTATGAAACAATAATAATGATATGATAGCAATCTTGTAACTTGGAGATAAAATATTTGTGTACGTCCGCATGAAAAGGGACCACTTTGTCGATATGGAGTTATGTATACTCTGATAATATTTATAACATTCCGCAAATTTTGAGCCCAAAATGATCCTCATAAGGTGAAAAATGACGTCGCCGGAGCAGATGAAAAAAATACTTTAACATGGGTGTAAATGGGAGTTGCTGAGACAAAAACGTGAATATCTCGGAAACTAGAATCGACAAAGTGGTCCCTTTTCATGCGGACGTCCACATTTGTTGATAAATTTCCCTCTATATGAGATATTTTCATCCTAAAAAGGCACCGTCTGTTGTGAATTATCCGCCTCTTGAGCCAAATATTTCGCTGCTGTCGAAAGCAGAGCAATTATTCATGTTTGATACTTTCAAATTCGAACCAAACAAATTCTCTTTAGCACGTTTCAACTAGCGATTTTGTTGGCCCAAACACTCGTTTGACAACGTGTTTGTTTTTCTCTGAGTGTATAACTGCAGTCTGAAAATGTTGAAAGACGTCACTGATATCGCATCCCGTGTCGGACATCCACGTCGTTCCCCCCATTCCAAGAAAATCACAATAGAACAAGTAAAAAGGGTCAAAGCCTCAATAAACCCCAATCAGCAATTCATGTAATTTTCGTTCCCCGCAATTTTCAAACCCATCTAATTTCAATTGTAGGAACCACGTATGGTTGACGTTTGCACACAGTGTCTCTAATGTAATTTCCGATGATTAAGCCGCCCCCTCCCGACCATGTGAGACAGACACAAGCAGTGGTACACACGACTGGTGAGTAATGAATTTCACATGGTTGACAATGCAACAGCAAGGCATGAAGTGGGATTTTGCCTAGTGTCCTTCTGACTCTCGAGTCACCAGACGTGATTTCAAACTATGTACACCTTCTCCATACCAACCCACTCTGTCCCATCCTCCATTCACTTATTTACGTACAACAGTATGAACACAGTAAGTGCATAATGTTACACGAGAACTTGGAAAGTCAGATTTACCAGTACTTTGTGTTGGTACTTGGGGGCTAGATGTAGCAGAAGTGTCTGGTGCAGTTGGAGACCCTGAGCTTTACTCTCTGCTGCGTTAATGCCCACCTCTACTAATGGTGTAATTCCGTAATTTCATGCAGATTACTGTACACCCATTTCCCCGATATTCAACGCTTTTCTGCGTCATGTTGGGAGTCCTAATACAGTCGCGGGATTTTTTTTCTCGTCTCAGGCGGACACCTCTCAAGTGTCTTTTTGGGATTGCTGGGAAGCGCTGTATTCATGGACAATCGGGATTACTGCACTCGTGCTACTTCCCGTTTACGGGGAAATTATTTGTTGCGGGTGACATTATGAAGTTCAGTAGTAGGGCCATGGGAAATGTGGAGAACGCAATAAAAGGCACTAGATTATTGTCAATTCGCGACGTTTCGCTTATAATTTTCGTTTCCTCAGGCTCAAGAGTACAATCGATAGAGAATTAAGAATAAATTAATTCATTTCTGACGATCATTAAGTACAAAACAGAAAGAAATTAACGAAAATTATTTCGAAACGCACGTTAATAAACGTCAGAATACGAAAAATTAATTATCTAATTAAGAATAAAATTAATAAACGATTGAGATCAAGTTAATTTCTGACGTTTATTAACGTACGTTTCGAAATATTTCATTAATTTATTTCGGTTTTGTATTGGTTTGGTCTGCAGACGCGGGGGGAAGCTTACATTATAAGCGAAAGGTCGCGAATTGACAATAATCTAGTGCAGTTCATTTTCTTGTTCACATTTCATATCTGCACTGAGAGAAAGATGACAAAGTTCCAAAACTTGAATTTAAACGATTACAAAGCTTCGATTCGGAAGCAGAAAATTCAGGAATTTTTTAAAAAATTCACCTCTATTATCCAACAAAATTTTCCATCGAATTCGCTAGGTGTTTCAGTGAATTTTAATTGTGCATGGAAACGGGAATAGTAATTTCAAAAATTTCAAGTAGAATACGCTTGCAGATTGGATTTATTCATCTTTCTACTGATTTACATAAAATCTACACGTAACTGACATGGAATTCAGTAGCTTAGTGGTAAAACGGTTCAAGTCGATTTTGACTATTGGCCATTTTCCCTTGAATATCTCGGAATCTAAGGGAGATAGCTAAATTTTTATCAAGACCTTTTTTGTAGCACTCAATTTGCTCTAGAAAAAAGTTTATTACAAAAATTTCGTTATCTCCTCTAAATTCGGAGATATTCTTCAAAAACTCAACTAAGAGATAAGTCGACTTAAACCGTTTTGCCACTTTACTACTGAATTCATCTCCTACTCATTCCTCCCGGAACCCGAATTCCTCGATAATGTTCATTCGCTCATTCAACTTTTACTACAATATTTCCATTCTCTGGAATTGTACTCCCATCCCATCAAATATTCAAACAAAAGAATGTCGTCCTGACTAGGAAAAAACATTCTCATGAATTCCTGATTCCGTTTCCTCTGCGTCATCCACTGAAACGTCCAGGACACCTAAAAAAAGACAACTCCTTGAAATTGTCCCTCTGGCGAAACGGAATGATTACATTAAAAATTTACCCCCATTGTTCCACCTGACTCTGCATTATTCTCACTCTCATTCCCCGCAATAGCCCCCGCCCCCTTCCGCATCTTCTCCTTTCAAAGCACGAGTCCATTATCCTTGTTCGACGTATTCGAACACAACAGAACACAGCGACGAGACATCTCTCGTCACTTCTCACCGCCAGAAAAAAAAACCTCCCAACTTGCGGATTAATTCATCTCCCTTACTTCCTTTGTTCCACATCTGCAATTATTTTCCCAGCTTTTCAAAAAAAAATTGTCACAAAAATGGGGGAATTCCAGCTTCTATCTCGTAGATTCATTCATCCGGTCTGTTAACGTTAATATATAGCATAAAACCGTATATTCTCGGGGAGAGGAAATTAATAGCACGTGAATTTCCCCCGACGTACGCGATACAACGAATTATGGATGCCACACTCACTCTATATATATTTAGCCCCCCCCCCTCGCTCGCTCCCACTCCGTCTTTCGGCACTTCAGTTCAGTGTCTAGTCCCCCCCACCCCATGCGCCTCCGTCGTCGCGGTGGGAATACGAATCAAGGGGTGGGGGGAGGAAGGATGGATAGAGAGAGAGAATGTACGTGTACTCAGGCAAGGTAAAGAGTATGTCTTCTAGTTCAATTTCACAAGACCGTAGTAACCGGTTCGGGCTTACCCCATACAAACTCAAAATTCCCAGTTGTGTGCGCGAGTAGGTGTACGTCCTCGTATCTATTCAAAGTTCCCGGATTGGGGGATTTGCCGCCAAATGGGCGATTTTCGAAGTTCTTTTGGCGTCTAAATATGGGCGTTAGCAGTTTGGCGATAATTTGGCGTGGTCGTAATGTTTAGGGCTCGAGGAAAAAATATTATATTGGAATTTTTTAAAAATCTTGATCTGATGAAATATGGGAGGATTCGTAACATCTACTTTAACAAATTACCGATTTTCTTGTTTACGTACATTAATTCATTAGAGTTAATTATTAAATGAACTCCAATAATTAATCCGTCCATGTTTTGAGATTAAATAGAGACCCTCCCCTGATATTTCCGTTTGTAAATCATTCCATACTGAAAATGAACACACCGTTTAGTTTCTTGTTTCTGAAGTCAATTCAATATTTAATTATGAGTTATAATTTTTCATTTTTTTGTTTTTTGCAAGCTCTACGGATGCGTTGCGGAATTTGCAAACCCTTCAAATTTGCGAAAAAATTAAATTACGTCTTTTTATTGGTGGTCTTGCTAGCTTAAGGAACTTCCGCAGTAAGTATACTTGGTGAAAATTTAGAAATGGTATAAAGACGCAATATTTGGATCATATGTTGTTGACCACATTAAAAAGATATTCCCAAAATTTCAAGTACCTTGTCCACCCCATTTTCGAGATATACACCGTCAAAAATGGGAAAAACACAAAAATTGAAATGTTTGGCGATGCATATCTCAAAAATGGGGTGGACCAGGGACTTGAAATTTTGGGAATATCTTTTTAATGTGGTCAACAACATATGATTCAAATATTGCGTCTTTATACCATTTCGAAATTTTCACCAAGTATACTTACTGCGGAAGTACCTTAATGACAACCTGGCGAGGCCTTGAAAAATATATAAACAGGAAAAATTGAGAATTATTATAAAAAATTAGGAAAAAATTCCCTAATTCTATTGCAATATACCAAATTCACCGACGTCGGTGGCCGAGTGGATTAGACGCAAGTCTAGTGTGCGAAAGGTTGTGAGTTCGATTCCCTGTGGAACCGAATTTTTCAACGGAAGGCTCCGGCGAGCGGGAGGGAGGTTGCTAATAGAGGAACCGCTTGTACCGGCATAGGTTTTCTGTGGTTTCCCCATGCTACTTCTGTTCTATAGAAGTGCGAATGCGGTACAGTGTAGAATCCACAGCCGCATGCATAGGGTTGGATAGAGTGCCGAATGGGACCCGAAAAAGGGACTCCGAGGCCGTAAAAAAAAAAAAAATTAAGGGTCGGAAATGAAGGGTCTGAAATTGAGGGCCACAAGGGCCAGAATGAGCTATAGCCCTTAGTTGGACCCTTGNCCAAATTCGATGTTTCCAGTTTGGCCTAGCCAGCTTTTGATACATGAAAATCGAACTTTGTCGAATTTTATTATATTAAACATGCACGTATTCATTCGCGGCCTGCTGATAAAATAATTATACAAAAAATAAGCGATTTTTTGGCAACACCAGCACCGACTTTGGGCGATATGAAGAGGGATCACTTGCGACGAGACCTCTGGAATATCTGGCAACCCTGCCGGTTCGGGCTTACCCCATACAACCACAAAATTCCCAGTTGTGTGCGCAAATAGTGTACGTCCTCGTTTCTATTTCGTTTGTAAACTCTTGGGAGTGGGGTGGGTCTGTTGAGTGGGGGGTGGGGGTCGAGGGGGGGAGTTAGACTCGATTCTGTTTCACTTGAAGGGGGATATTGTACTCCACAGGACACGTGCTTATCGTCTAGTTGGAGTTACCGAGCGAGTGGAGGAATCCACTTCGGTTTATATCGGCAAAACGGAGAAACGGGTATTTGAGGAGTTTAGGGGGTGGGGGACAAGTCTGGACGTGTTCGAGGATCTCTTGGGTGGTCAGGAGGAGTTGGAGTTGATGGGAGGGGGGAGCGCTCATTGAAATTAATTAATTCGAGGCGGGAGTCTTTGTGATGGTTCGGGAGGGGATTAT